CCCCCCCCCCCCCCCCTCCACCCCCACACACCCGGCCCCCCTCCCGGTCTTCCGTGAAGCGAGGTGGACCTGAAAATCGGAAGAGCCGGCGGCTTAGCAATTGCCGAGCTGATCATGCTTTAGGGCTTATTCGGTTTGGGGCGGGGGGGGGTTTGGGCTCTTCGGCTTCTTGGGGGTGTTAGGGTTTGGGGATTTGATTAGGGGATTTGGGGTGCTGGGGTTTCGGGTTTTATAGGTTTATGGGTGGGATCCTGTGTGAGTTTATTGATCCCCGATCCGCTACACCCTTAAACCCTATATGAAAGAGGCCTGAATGAATAATAGTTACAACGACAACAACAACAACAACAACAACTACTACTACTACTACTACTACTACTACTACTACTTCTACTACTACTACTACTACGAGAGGGTTCCTGCCTCAAACCTTATTCTAATCATTGAGGCCCTTTATTAACCAGATCAGGTTGAGCTCATCAACGACTTCGTAGCCCAGGGCTACGGCATGCTGACTTTGGGCAGCACCGAGGTTGCTCCGAGCACTGGGATAGTTCGTCGGGCTGTATAATCGTGGTTTATATAAGGGTGTTTAAGGCTTAGTAGGGGTTGATGGGCTTGATAGGATTTAGAGTATCTAATAGCAAGCGCTTGATAGAGGTTTCGTGAAGTTATGGGTCCCAAAAGACAGAGACCCGTGCCGGAGTTCTTTCCGAGTTTCGGGTTGAGGGTTTCGGGTTCTGGGTCGAGGCCGCATTATCATTGCTGTTGCCATTCCTATACCTCAGAGCCTTCTTCGGTCTTTCGGCCCGACACTTCCGTTGCGCATGCTTCGTTGCTGGCACCTGCAGCGGAGGGTGGGTATCCTTCCGTCCTTCTGCCTCCTGTTGTCGTTTGACACCCTAGCTTCACAAGTGCTTCCGGTAGAGTCCCAGGTTTCTCCACGGCAGGATGCTTAAGGAGTTGCTCTCTGAAGCAGATTTCTCCGTGTGCTGACTGGCATGCGCAGACAAGTGACTAGCACAAAGAACTGAATGCCCTTGAAGCTAGTACTTCCGTTGTCCGGAACTCTTTCTCGCGATTGTGAGCTCTTGTTTTGGTTTTTCATCAGATTCTGGGTGAGGGCAATGACTCTGGAAGCACCATCGTTTTGAATCTGATGGCACAAGACAACCAAGTAGAGATAAGGCACCAAGCAGTTTGGATCCCAAGCAGCGGCTTCTCTAGAGCCTACAGTGATAATCGTCAGAAACTACCATGACTTGTTTTTGCGAGTGTCGATGGTGATGAGTCATTCTGTTACTACTGCCCCTGCCACTGCTGTCGCTACCGGTGCTGCCAGTGCTATCCCTCGTGTCTTAAGTACTCGGTCTATTTTGCTTTTCATGTCTG